CGGTTTCAGAATAAGCGACTAAAGTGACAAATTATAATGGTCTTGAAAAACAACAACGGTGTCGTTATATTCCAGGAAAAGACCAGATGCATCTCTGTGTAATAAAATACCTTAGGCATAATTTTTGAGTAGTGAGATCTCGGCTAATGATTTTTTTTCTTGCAACCCTTAAGTCACTTTCTATTGACCACTGACACAGCCATCTCCCTTGACTGTTAACTGAGAGATGAGGAAAGAAAACGGAGAGGTGCTGGTGATAATATAGAATGTAAAGGAAAATTCTTCCATGAAGTATGAAGGTATAGGTTTGGAATAGTCTGTGAATTGTATCCATATTAAATAAAATGTTTTAAAAGACACTGACAGAATTAGAATAATAAGTACTTTTCACTGCTCTCATGTTCTTTATTCACACACCTAAACACATGTTTCCATCAAACCTAAGGGGAATCGTTTGAGGTTTTTGTTGTTTTTTCCCTCGTGTAGACTTTCTTTCCCTTCCTCCTAGCCAAGGTACTGATAAAGAAGACATAGAGTCCAAATTTCCTGGAACACATTCTGGAAGCGACCATACTATTTGAATTTATTGGGATGCATTGATTGTTTTTTAAAAGTTGATAAATATTTGGTTTAAGAATATTAAAATTACCTTGTTTCCATTATGGAAGTTACTGATATAAAGATACCCGAGTGCCACTTTATCATAGGCAGATATGAATACTTATTGTCGTTGGAGGAATAAATCTAATATTGTCGTTGGAGGAATAAATCTAAGCAGGTGTCAGTAATATTAATTTTTGGAACTCCCGAATAATTTGGCATGGGTTTAAAACGATAACGACAAACTTATGACCTGCTTTTAACAGTCAAGAGCAGTTTTACTCAAGTTTCCAGTTCAAGCTCCTGCCAGAGACAGTGAGTGTCTCCCTTTTCCAAAAATAAACTTGGATAGCTCTGAGGTTTTAAACCCATTGAGATTATAAAATGTGAGTAAATGAAATGTAAACTTGACATAGCAATCTTGTAGCTATGTGGCTTTTTATCACCCCCCCCTTTAGTTTTTAAATCAAGTATGTACTTCAAACTGCAAACCAAATGCATTTTTTTTCCTTATGATGTTTTTCACCTGAGATTTCCTACTCTGAAAATGTGGGTTTTCACCAGTGATCTTATGTAAATCTCTGTGCCTGTTACAACTTA